CCTTTGTCTGGACCTTTTTTTTTAGACTTCTCCTCTCTTAAGACGAATTTTGCTTATATTTCATAAACCCATATGGTGTAATGGTGTATGGGCGACTAATGCCCAACCAGCCATAAAAGAAAGAAGAAAGAAGAAGAATATCTATATTTATAATAAGTTCACGCATACACACACACACACACACACACACGCATATACACCAATACCCGCATCTTGGTTCTTATCTGCCAGTTTTCCCACTTAAATATATTATTCATGTAATTTTGCATATCTTTTTCACATGTAGATTTTTTTTCATATTTTCTCATCGCGATATAAGAAGGTGCGTGTCGCGGACGATTAAGTAACGTCAAGAGTGTCGTGTAAAATGTCTCGCGATTATAGTATTCTGGGATCGTGATTAACCGTGTTTTCTTGAGTGAGCGTATGATAAAGCGGAAAAGAATGGACAAGAGAGGAGAAGAAGGTCCGGAGAAGCGTCGACGAAACAACTATAGGGCGAGCACAATTCATAAATTGTTTATTATTTGTTATTTACTTGTGAAATTAATTAACTATTCATAAAAATTTATAGTACAAAATATTTTTACCAGTTAATATTTTTTTTTCATATATAGATGCATGTAAATTTCCTAAAGCCAAGTTTACATGTAGAAAAAAAATCTTTTTTCGATGATTAGATAAAAATCTATTGTATTAAATATCTGTTTTAAGAATGAATGAAACATTCGATTGAACATAATAATTAGCTTTGAAAATATTACATTTATTTCAAAGTTTTTTTTTTTTTGCGTTTACACATTAATAGAATCAATGAAAGAAATATTCTGTTTTGCGAGCAAAATTTGCTCGGAAGACTGCCACAAGCATTATGGCAATAATTAATGCGACGACAAGTCTCCTTGTTTTAATCGTCTCATTTGATTAATGTTCGCAGAGACAACGCAATTGGAAGATCCAAGGCAGGAATGGCGGGCAATACAGGAGGCTATGCTCCGCGACTATTTGCAGACCGCACAGGACGTACTCGAGGTAAGCTCACAGAAACAACTGATCATAAACATTCATCTCTTTGAGCCGAGCGATCTTTCGCTTAAAATACCATTCGTAAAAGCGGAATTGATCCGTTAATCGCTCCTCGTGTCGATGAACCTCACTTTACCGAGATTAAAACAGCTAGAGGGGTGGGAGGGAAGGAGGAAAGGGGGGGACTGGTAGAATTTCAACGAGGGTCGACGAGGGCGGCAGGAAGTCAGTCCGTGAGAAATCATGTTACTTCCGGTCATTCGGCATACCCTATGTATACTACGAGCGCAGCAATGTAGATTAACACACGATTAACTTGTCCCCTTATAATAATGTTAACGTTATGTTATATTGAAAATTAGGACAGTCACGTGACCTGCATTTTACACAATTTGTCACGATTTAAAATTAAGAAAAAATTAAATTAAATTAAAATTTAAAAAAAAA